CTCCATGGTCCTGCCGCGAATGACTAGAGCACAGACGAATAGAGAACGGGTGAATGGCCTGGGACTAAGCCTTGGAGAAAAGAGGGCCCCGCTGCAGAGAGAGCGCAGAGCGGTTTAAAGGACTGAGTTCAAAGTAGTCCGTCGACCAAATTGGTGGGTTGATTCCACCCAAATGTGAAAGTAGGGATGGGAGGTGGACCACCAAGAGAAAAAAGGAAAGAAAATCCTGAAATACACAGGAAATACGAGCATTTTGCTTTATGCTGTGAGAAGTTCAAAAGACAGGCAGGGAGATGAGAGACGTATCATTGTAACCGGAAGTGGTAGAGATCAGGAGAAAGAGAGAGCATAGCGGATACAACGCAGACAAGATATCGAACGGTGGGCGGACCATGTTAAGTTTGGTGGAGTCTGTTAGAAGTCCATGGCGCCTAGGGTCCTAGTGACGCGTTTCGATGTAGAAAGGTGGCGCTACCTTTGCACTTGCGTACCCAGCACTTCTAGCCATGGTAAGGGCTTCTTAGGGTCTGAGCCCGAACTTTGCCTTTAATTTCAGTGTGTTTGCTTTGAAGAGGCGTGCGCAATTCAAAAATCGTACACATGTCTGTGGGGAATTTCCACGCGCTATTTTGAAGTACCCGCCTAATACACCCAGTTCAGGGTACGGGTCACGTTAGTGCACAACGAGTGAAGGGAAGGAATTAGACTCCTATTCTCAATACTTGCTTACTGCTCGTACCAAGAAGTTCCATTGTGATGTACTCCAATTATCCACCAAATTTTTAAAGGAATCTTGCGCGGAAAATTCTTCGCACTCTTTCCTAACATGAATATGTCAGTTGTGATCACTGGAAATAGCACACAAAGTTTCACGCATGAAGATTCGGTTTCTAGTGAATGCACTCCAAGAACCAAGTTTGAGCATCCCCGTCGCCAGCATTCGTGAAAGACGTCCGTGGGCAATTCGAACGCGTAGCAGCCTTTTCGAGTTTTCGAATTTCTAATCAAAACGAAAGCAATACTTCAGTTCTTTTCACTATTATCGTGGATAATGAGTCTCAAGCCAGTGATTTATGGCTGAAATAGAATCATGATTTTTCCGCGCAAGATTCCTTTAAAAGCGATCAAAGATGGATCTTAATTAGCTACGGTATTGAAAATTGGGAGTGAGAGCGCAGAAAATTGACATAAAAAAATATCAGAATAGCAATAACTCACACAGATCTAGTTAAGTGTAACAACTACGACGACAAGCCTGAACCTTGCACTATTGACTCTTAAGTTGCCATAGCTCTGATAATTAAGTAAGCAACTAAACAACTGCATGAGCACAACGTCTCAATCGAAAGGGTTTCATAATCAAACTACCAGCAATATTTTCAATTCAGGTCCGATTGGTGGGAGAGTTTGGTTCAGCATATACCACTTGAAAACAAATCCTTACGCGAAGAAATGGTAAAACTGGTGTCAGAGTCCGCAATTCGTCGCGCGAATCCGGCGCAACACGAATAACAGAAAGTCAACAGTGCGCCCGATCAAAAATGCAATGTCCCGGCCATTTTCGCTTGATATGTGATGGTTGATGATTCTGCTTGTCTCATATTCAAAGTTTTAAATCTCCAAATGTGGTACTTGCGATTCACGGAATCGCGCGAATCTCGCGGCGGATCGCGGACCCTGATACCAGTCTAACGCGACAACTTTCTGGAGCGCTACGGTACTCATAGTGACATCATTTGAGTAGGACATCGTTAGAAAAAGATTACGAGTGAGGACCAGAGTTTAATAACCATTAGCTAAAGAACTTAATGCCGTCCGTGAGTTTCTCTCAAACACATAAAAAGCAAGAGCAGCGCTGCGCGACGGCATGCTCAAGCAAAGCAGAGGCTTCGTAATGATCATGAAAGATCATCAGGTCAATCCGGCCAGATGAGCTGAAAATTTCTATACGCGTCTCAGGACGCTGAGCTCAAATCTGCTTTTATTATCTGCTAAACTCTTCTTTGAAAGAATTACAGGGGTATTATCTTTTGGTCACATGAAGTTTCTCATAGTACATGTATGAAGTAGAAATACAACTACTAAGTGCGTAGGATCAATTCCGGAACAAGAAAAGTCTCATAATTGAAGGCCTAGGGGAGGAAAATGACTGCGTGTTTTCAGTCATACATATCATAAGGTCGTCATATTCTCCGCAAACAAAACGGAATGCAGCTGTAAAAACCCAAGACCGCGTGTTTCCCATTGGCACAAGCAATTCATCCTGTACCAAAAAACTCACGACTTGGTTGCCTTTTTAGCAACATTTTGTCTCGGTTGTGAGGAATACTGGCACCTTTTCTCCATGGATCTTTCAACCCCAAAATCCTCCCAAAAGTCTTCACTCAATGTCAAAATTTAACCTGGGTGGGTACGGTTCCCACATCAGCACTTCTTCCCTCGAGTAAGCTACAGCAGATACTCCTCGAACTATTTAAGAGCTAATGAAAAACTTTGAATGAATATTTCCGAAGTGTTCAAGTCAAAAAATGACGTGGCTTTAGCAACAATACAAACTGTTATCAGGACCTGATCAAAATGAATAGCAATGGACCACAATCCAATTTGGCAATGAATTCCTCTGAAAGAAATCGATAGTTGCACGAGAGTGGTGTTACCGGTGATTTATGCTGTAACATCCCGGACGCGAGAGGACATTCGTAGAGCAACTAGGAAACATCGGAAAGAACAGAGAACAAAGCAAAAATAAACGAAAGAATCAGCGCTCAACCGCCGCCTTCAATTTTGCGACAACCTCTTCTGAGGAGATCCGGGACGAGGTAATGAGTAATGTCTTCGAGCGAGATTTGCCACCCTAAATAGGACTTTAGACATGAGTTAGGCATAACTGGGAGTGTCGTTGAGGAATCACTAGAAGAACATAATAGAAATAACCTTATCTAGCACGATTTCACTCTTCTTCAGTCCTAGCACCCCTCTCATATAATCGACGAGTTCCTCATTTGCTTCACCTTCACGTGGAGGAGCT